ATAGCTCATCGTAAAAAGTTGGTGATATAACTTACGGCCGTCACGGACTGTAGTCCGTCGTCGGCAAAAAAAAATATGATAATTACTGCAATAATAAGGCTTATCATGCCTTTACCTGGAAATAGAACCTTGTCTTCTAGACCATATGGCTCTTATAACAACTTCAAAAACTCATACATAATCAATGAGTTATTAGGCCAATAGAATGAGCCTATTTGGTCACATGCATTGACCTTTATATCTGATAAAACACTCTTTATTAGTATTCTTAACATATAGAATGCTAATAAGGGTGAACTTTATCAAATATAAAGGTCCATGACCCTAGCAAAGGTCTCAGATCATTTGATTCCTGATCATTGACCAAAGCAGAATGTCAACCAATTGCAGTAAACAGACAACAGCGGTTCTATTTTACTTTATGCGTATTCAATGTGGGATGACAAGAGTGCTTTGTAAAGTGATTCGCGCATTATCAGTTTGTCCCATTTATCGATCTCAAAACTTATTTTTAAGGCAATTTTTCCAAGAAATTTAACGAATTTGAACACTCTCTCTCCTGTTTTAATGCACATATGAACCATTTTAGAAAATCATTTTTAAAAAAGGCAAATGTGATGATAATCATTGTTTTGAAGAAAAAAAGTTTTTTAATTTTATTTTCTGAGTTAAAGGCATTTGAAAATTGAAAATGCTAATGATGTGTTTTCATGAACGCCAACTGGGAATATGATTATTCCCTCCATTGCCTACGATAAATTTAATGCCATGAAACCATTTTTAAGCGACTCCTTCAAAGTTCGTATATTTAATGAAGCCTCCCATGACGTCACTTCATTAGCATTTTCAATTTTCAAATGCCTTTAACTCAGAAAATAAAATTCAAAAACTTTTTCTTCTTCAAAACAATGATTAGCATTCATATTTGCCTTTTGTTAAGATGATTTTCTAAAATGGTTCATATGTACTTTAAGCTATACCTTAAACATATTACATTGTCGTAATTACATTGCAATTCTACAGTGGAAAATAGACATTTAAACGCATTGTTTCTCATCTAGGACAAGCACCGTTGAGATTATTAAATAAGATATCGTCACATTCATCAGTGCAGGGAATTTTGCAGATTTATCATAATGGTTTCTGGGGAACAATATGCAATAACAGATGGACATCAATAGAAAGTGTATTGCATATTGCGCAAACTGAATGTACAGAATTGTGTTCACCGGTCACATCCATCACGTTATACAACCAGTCCAAATGCATCGAGACTTGACATACAAATATGTATTTACGATAACAGGCGCGTAGCGTCCTTTATGCATGCACTTATTTCAAAAAACGTTGTCGGAGAGAACGGAGAATGAAAGTTGTTGAATGAAAGTTACACGACCGAAAGGAACTCTGATTTGTATACTTAATTTATAGAGTTCATAATAAAAATTACCAATTGAATACTACTGTAGCTTTGACTTTGGATATTTTAACGGGACTCGTCGCTTTAGTATTACAAACGAAGCCCGTTTAGTGTATGCTTTGTCGTTGGAGAAGCCATAGAAGAACGGGGAAGTAACACTTTTCATTTCTGCTCTGCAAAACCAAAAATTTAACTCATTAATTTTGACCTGTTGTCAATGTTGTGCGCGCGGTGCACGTGAAAAATTTGTGTGAAAACTAAAACTTCGCATAATAATAAAGTGTTTTGTTTTTAACAATTATGTCATTCAGATACTGAAATGGAAACCATAAGGACAAGTATGGTTCCCGATTAATATTCATAACCCACATTACTGTTCGGTGGTGGAACTTTCATTCGACAACTTTCATTTCCCGTCTTCTCCGATAACGTTTTTTGAGTGTATACGCACGTGCGTACTAGTGGCATGGAATTTTCACAAAAAAATACTGTAAAATTCTCATAAACTTGATTCCTTTTATATATGCCCTCGATATCCCTCAGAACGCTAGAAATCGCATTTCCAAGAGTTATTATATATTTCAGAATTTCCTTGCTGTCATTATACCCCCAGATCCAAAATATGTGATGCTGTCCCTGACATGTGCATACTGCTAGCCAAAAAGTTGTCATAAACATTGCGTGGATCTCGTTGCCTCATAACTGTCATTGAAAAGTGATGGTGACAAAAGAAACAACTAATAATTCACATTTTAGGACCAGCGCCATTGAGGTTACTGGGTAGGGCATCTTCGCAGTCRTCAGTGCAGGGTATTTTGCAGATTTACTACAATGGTGTGTGGGGAACAATATGCAATAACACATGGTCCAGGGCTAACACAGAYATAGCATGTAAACAGCTTGGTTACCAGTTTGCAGTGATGTCCAAGCACTTAGGACAAGGAACTGGTCCAATTTGGCTTGATTATGTTAAATGTAACGGCGATGWGCCTTCAATAGACAAGTGCCCTCACAAGGGATGGGGTCCTCATGACTGCGACCACATGCAAGATGTCGGAATTGTGTGTAGTACAAGTAAGTAAATCCTGATATTGTTACTGCATTTTCATGAAAAAGCGATGGAAAGGAGCGATAAACAATATGAACTGCGACGGTGTTTCTAAAGAAACAGTTGTGACATACGATAAGTTCGCAAAACGGGTTTCAATTTTTCTGGCGTTTCGAGCGTTATTATGATCATTCGTAATGCTGTAATAACTAACAACCTGGTGTTAGGGTTAAACCTTGTCTTCTAAAACCTTGTCTTCTCAAAAAGTGCTGCGGTATAATAACCCTAGAAACAGGGGCGCCATTGAGGTTATCGACCAAAAAAGTACCTGCTTCATCATTAGTGCAAAACGCTAGAAATCGCATTTCCAAGAGTTATTATTTCAAACTTTCCTGCCGGTCGTTATACCCCCAGATCCAAAATATGTGATGCTGTCCCTGACATGTGCATACTAGCCAAAAAGACCACGCTACGCTCCTGGATAACTTCTTAAAAACGATTTTCGAGCCGCAATAGTTAATCTTTGTTGGATGTTCGATGGCTATGAAACAATGCTGTGTTCGCATCTCCTCAAAATGGTCACAGCACGAAATCTGATATTGCAAATTTGCAATAGACCGAATCAAGGTTACCGGCGACATCTTTGAAGGGGTGTAACTAGACTGGGGCGAGCGCGCGGCCAACCATACATTCTCTTACAAACATTCGTCTTTATGTTCTTTATGTCGACTTTATTTAGCTTTCAAGGTTAAGTTTCGCCGTGTAATATTCGGATTACTGTTAGCTCATTAATTATGAGTTCAAGCCATGTATAAAACACTGGGAAACGGGCAATGATCGAATTGTACGACAACATCGTCGCAATCGAAACACTAGCACGTATTTCTTCCCTGAAGTAGCTCAGTGTTTCGATTTATACCCCTTTGGTATGAGGTTCTAGCTATTTGGTTGTAAATTTATTCAGATCGAAGGCGAGATTAATGCGATCTGGTATAAGGCGGTCGCAGAAAGCTATACTGAAGAAGGGGAAATCAAGTACGAATCGTTTGCAGTGATATGTAATTGAATGCTAACCCGTGCGGATAGTCTTCGTCTCCTAGTCTCTTCATGTTATACATGCTTGGGTATAACCATAATATCGGTCTAATCATAAAGGTGCATTATACCAATTCAGTGAAATTGTAAAAATTGAAGATTTGCGGATCCAATTTTGACATAAAGTCTGATAAACATTAGAACGATTTCGACCTACGTAGCTTTTACACAGAAGAAAATGTCACTCGCCGTCACACGACAACCGGCCATCGATACGGTATTCAACATTTTAGTGTGTTCCATTGTTTCCATGGCTTTGTTGCGTTGCGTTGCGTTGCGTTGCGTTGCGTTGCGTTGTGTTGTGTTGCGTTCCGTTGTGTTGTGTTGTGTTATTGCAGCCATTCTTTTTAGCTTCCCACTAAACATTCATAGATCATACAGTGTAACGATGACAATCTGTTGACAATTATTATGACTTAACGTGCTTAGATGATTACAATGTCTCTTCGTGTTTAACTGGCCAGTTTACATGCTCTGAAGGATCATGTATTAATACGTTTGACCTTTGCAATGGAAAACCAAAATGCAAGAACGCTGAAGATGAAAGTCGGTGTGGTAAGTAATCCATTACTTTGAAAATACATTTTGCGTTTAGAAGTAATTGAATTTTCGTAATGTCTTCCAATTGTCAGAAAGACCATGTCCCGAGAACCAGTGCATGGATGGAGAATGTCAAAAGTCTTGCGAAGAAACGACGTATAATATAACCGAATGTTGTATGTATGCAATGTTTAATGCGCTTATTAGATTCATTAGTCAAGAACGGAGATCATTATATTTCACTCCGCTCCATTTGTGTAGTCTGCTTTGTCCTGGGTACCTACCATTGGAAAACATGTGCTCTATGCAAAGGAAATTGTAATTGTAATTTGCGTTCAAATTAGATTCTCGGCTGAAATTAAAACTGAAAAGTTACAAGAATCTGATCTAGGCTCGTCACATCCAAGGATTCTGGCAATCAAGAAAAAGTCGACGAAATTATCGTAGGATAATTATTGTATGATTTTGAAGATCAGTCAAAGGTACAGACAAGAAATCATAGTGCTCTTAAGACAGCAGAAGCTTCATCCTGTCAAATGAGTATGTTAAGGGGCATTGTACTGCAAGTCTAACAAAGCAACGATCATTCGCACTTGATCTCTGTGTGCATGCTGAGG